TGGGGGGGCGGGGCCGCAGCCGGCTCCTCTGAGGGAGAGCGCCGTTGATTGGCATGCCCGCCTGCCTGCCTGGTTGCCAGTCTCCCGGCGGGGGGGATCCAAAGAGGACATCCGTGACAAGAAGGACGAAAAGCCAAGGAAGAGGATCTGCAAAAGGGGTTTTTTACTCTCCAGCAAGGCTCCCTCTAAGCTGTTGACTCTCGTGAGCAAAAACATTCTACTTTGTGAGCTACTGAAGAAGGTTTTGAGCAGGTGGTTTGACCAGTGCATGAATTAGTTTGCTCCGGAGCCCCTCCTTCCTGAGCTAAGATAATAATAATAATAATAATAATAATACAGAAATGTGTGGGCCGGAGGCTAGAAAACTGTGAGCTGGCTCACACGAACTCAGCTTAGAGGGGACACTGCTCTCTAGCAGTTCTGCAGAAGAGTCCCTTCTCTTCTGTCGCTCCCACGCAACGCAACGAATACGGAGCCATGTATAAAAATACATACCCCTTTTTTTCACCAGGATTGCTTTCTCTGAGCGTGTGTCGCAATTAACAATTCTAATCAATCTTCCACGGGAGGCGGTGGATGCTCCTTCGCTGGACGTTTTCAAGCGGAGGAGGCTGGACGACCATCTTTCGGGGATGTTGTAGGTATGTAGGGCTCTCTTTCGGCTCTGCTCCTGCAGAGTGCAGGGGGGTTGGACTAGATGACCTGCAAGGTCCCTTCCAACTCTTAACATTCTATGATTCTTTGATTCGATCCTACTACCCCCAGGGGCTGTCATTCCACTCCGTGGTCTCTCATTCCAATCCCAGAACACTCCTACTGCCCCCAGGGCCTGTCGTTCCACTTTGGGGCCTGTAATTCCAGTGCCAGAATGCTTCTGCCGCCCCCTGGGGTTGTCATTCCACTCTGGGGCCTCTCATCCCAGTCCCAGAAGACTTCTGTTACTCCTAGGGCCTGCCATTCCAAGCTGGGGCCTGCCATTCCAGTCCCAGAGTAGTCTATTTGGGCCCAGAGACCCTAATGGAAAATCCATTCCACATTTTTATTGCAACTCTACTTGTACTGTACTGTAATGTATTTCAATGAAGCCCATGCAAGTCAATGGGCTCCTGGCTCCCATTCTTTCCAATAGGCCTTCAAGTGTTTCCCGTTGGTTCCAATGGGCAACCCTGTCCTTCCTTTTAGTACATCCCTCCTTAAACAGCAATCAGCTGAGCGACTCTCTCAGACCTAAAGGTGTTCGGTTTTCTTTTGGTGGCGTCTGGTAATCCAGGAGTCAGGCTCTTCAGTTTACCCTGAATCAAAGGTGGGATTGCCAAAATGCAGGCATGACAACTGATCTCCAGACGGCTGTTGAAAATGGCAGCTTCAGAAGATGTACTTCTATGGTATGCCATCGGTAAAGGTAGAAGTTTCTCTTGCTCGAAAGCCAGTCAGATCCGACTCTTGGGTTGTGGTGCTCGTCTCCGTTTCCAAGCCGAAGAGTCAGCGCTTTCCGAAGACTTCTCCGTGGTCACGTGGCCGGCCTGACTAAATGCCCCGGCTAAATTTTTCCATCTACAGTGATGATCAAGATATGCAAAGTGACACTAAATAACAGGTTGTCAGGTGTAAAGCGATAAATATGTCAGACTAGCAGAGAAATGTCTAAAGGTGTCTCTTCTAATTTAGTTATTATTTAGAAGTATGGGCATGGCAGTACCGCACAGACCTATAACGGCAGGCCCCCTGAGAAAAACATTGCCCCCCCCCAGCAAAAAGTTGTTAGCTAGGGGGCTGTTGGGGGGGGGGGGGGGCCGGGCTTTGGGGC